ATGCTAGAGCACTCCCGAAGGAACAGGATAGTTCTAGAAAACGGGTGGCGTGATACTAGTAACGTGATCTCGCTGACGCAACATTATCAATGGTACTATTACTCCAAATGCTATGCACATAATGTTCCTTTTCCAAGTGCCAATAAAACTGAAAAAAATCATCCAAATATATTCTTCTTATTCACATTCCACTCCTAGTGCATTCTCATGCACCAAATGTAGAGGCCTTAAACATACAAAATTGCCCATCAGGTTCATGTGAAATAGTCATGCCCAATGTGTTATGTGACCAAAATGTACCTAATTTACTATTCTACCAATTGAAGCATGAACCCAAATATTTGTTATGCATTGTACTGCCATTCCCGATGGAGCCTGGGCACCTGTATATAAATAACTTTGTGCCTGTCTCATGCCAAGTGACAGATGCAAAAGTTAAAGAGCATATCAAATGTAACAGAATGGATATGATTGACCTTTTGGAATGCACATGTTCAGCAGCAAATAGATCAGGTGAAATAACCCTTGGTAGGTCTCATAAGCTTACTGATGGTAAATACTTTAATCTGACTGAACTGAACAAGTCTCAGTTTGATGTCCTATTTCTCAGGATTCCATCTTTGATGAATGCTCATGTAATATTTATGCAAATCAGTCTGGGGTTTATCCAATATAATTTTGTCTAAAATTATGAGTTTGGAAAATACTCTTGCTGTAAAGAGAACAATATACTTGACTCATCTTGTTTTGGTGGACAACCTTGTTTCTCTTTAACCTGAAAATATCAGCCATCAGAAACTGGTGTCTAACCATACCCATCCTTTTGTACTGTACCTTTTGTCAGAATGTAGCAATAATGCTCAGTTTTAGAGGACACTAAAACATATGTGCATATAAGTGTCAAATATGCTTTCAAATATGAAAGTTATGGCATGCTCAAGCAGCAGTCACTTGTTAAAATAATGTGGTTGTATCCACAGATGGGTACATTGAGTTGGTCCTTGGTCCATATATTGATGGTGGTAGAATAATGGTTCATTAATTACCCATCACGTACTCCAAAATGATGCTAAAAACATTCATATCTGAATTCATCCACATTTGTGAGATAAGATGAACACAATGTATATAAATAAAGAAATTCAAACAGTGGGTAATTTCAAAATCTTTTGACTGATTTCCACATTTATGGTATATTTATTCTTCCCTATGAGACAGAAAATGAGGTAAGTAAGAAAAGTTATATCTTCTTTGATGTTTTAATGTATGTTTTAGAAGATTAACAATAGTTTACAAAATCTTTTTCAACATTAGTCAGATGTTAGACAGATGAAGTTTTCAAAGAAACTACTACAAGTTTACAAATAACTTGTAGTGAATGTTACTAATAGTGCAAGTTACCTGACAGCAAGTTATTATCTGTAATGAAAAAGAGGAAGGTGTATGACAAAATGAACTTTATTTAGAATATCAACACGTTTTACAGATTTTCTTTCTGTGTACAACTTTCCCCCCAAAACATAAGTTTACTTTCCATAAAATCTTAATATTACAATAATCCATGGATATGATTGTGCTTACCATTAATATTTTATACGTTATTTTAATAAGATGCTAACTTACTGACACTGAAAATATATTATTAGAATTTTCCCTTAAAAAATTTCACTCTGAAATAAAGATTTTGCAAGGTAAGAAAAAATGTTATCTTAAACTAACCATAAAATTCTTGATAAAAGATATTTAAAACCAAAATATCAATTAATAAGAAATAACAGTTAATAATTTTTAATCACATTATATTCATGATAAATATATTTTACAAATTATAAAAATTGCTTTATATCTGCTGATGATTCAAATATGATTTTGTTTGATATAATAATATCAAATTATTTAAATACATAGACTCAGTAATCAATAAAGAAAATCTCTAACTCTTACATACACTGAGTGGTCACAAGTAAATAGACACCTAATTTTTCGTCATTTAACTGATTTATGCT